GCCGGCAAGTCCATGACGAACTTCTCGTTCCAAGTAGGATATCCTCCTCCTTGGGCATCAGTCTTGGTCATCCGATAGTTGAAGGGGTCGATTGAAACGACGACGAAGGCATTCTTTTTCAGATGTTTGTTGTTAACTCGGAGATCTTCCGCCGACAATACCGTGAGTTCGAGGGTTCGAGACTTAGTCTCCATTAGGTTGGAAAATTCAAAAGTAAACAAAATTAATTAACTTTAGAAATGCAGAGGTCGAGGAAATCAATGAATATATCAGTGAATGGAGATGAGAAAAAAAAAAAGACTGGAGAGTGTTATATAGGGTTTGGGAACGAAGTCGGGTAGAAGGGAGGGAGAAAAAGGGAAGTTGGTTCGGGTTTGTTACTCATTGCGGGCTGTTCGGTTTGTTTCAATATTGGCGGTGGGTATCTCGACATAGCGGCAGATTCCTGGTAAGTGCGGGGGATGTGTTAGTTTTATGTTCAGAGGAAAAGTCCTTTTTTGCAACAGATGAAAAGTCTAATTACACTACTGTTTTGATTAATTTTAATATAACGATTGATATATATTTTAATTTAATGTATTGGATGAATATTTATTAAAAGGTGTTATTTTTAATTTAAAATTAAAAATAAATTAATTTAAAAATATAATATATATGTAGAATATAAAATGTAATTAAATTAATTATATTTGTATTATATTTTAATAATTAAATTAAAATAAATATAAAAAAATATATTAAATTAATTGTGTGTTAAACACTTTCTGTAGAAGAGTAATACGGTTGGGAAACACGAGTCAATTTCCCCCAAAAAAAAAAAAAAAAAACACGAGTCAAAATTGACTCAATTTCAAAGTCCTATTGTTATTCTAAGGCTTTTCTTTGATCTCCTTTCTTCTTTTATTTTGACTTTGTTTCGCAACATTTCTTGGAATTTTATTTTTTAATTTTTATATTTTTTATCATTTTAAAAATATATAAAATGTTAATTAAAATAAATATAAAATATGTAAAATATATTTTATATATTTTAAAAATATTAAAAGACTAAAAAATTACAATTAATATTATCAAATTAATCCTTTATTTTATAAATAGTAATATAAAGATAAGTTTTTATATAAGTTTTTTACACCATTTTAATATATCATTAAATAACTAAATATACTTAAATATTATGAATTTTAAATAAATAAATAAATAAATTATTTAAATAATATATAAAATTATACTAAAAAATAATAAAAAAAATGAAATCTCTCCTTTTCTTTACTCTATTATGTCTAACGTTTTGGAAGGGGATACGTTTAGATCTTTGGTCCTTCCCTTGATGAAAAATTGTTAGATTCAAAATTGAAAAATAATTAACTTCATTGAACCGCAATTTGTTGAAGGTTGTTAGGAAACATCTATATACATTTAAAAAAATAAGAACAATTATGGTGGGGTAATGATTTTGGCACAACTGTGACAAAATCAATATCTCATTCAAGATTTACACAGGAATTCGTATGTATATGGAGGTTTTTTAAGTCAATAGATATATTATATAGTTCCTCTGTACTCCATCAATTGTGGAGTACACATTTAAAAATGTTTGTGGGTCAAATTAAAAATCATTGTACCAGGGTAGAGAGATTAATTGGCTTCTTCTATTAATTATTTAATATAAAAATTTGCTTAATCTATATTTTTATGACACATGTTAAAATTTATTAATTACAATATTTTTAATTAATTTTTTAATAAATTTTCATATCATATTTACAATTTTTTATATGTTTTGAGTATAAATATTATATTATATTTTTTACATATTATATTATATTTAAAATAGAAATTTATACAAAATTAATTACACATACTATAATTAATAAATCTTAACTTATAAGTTTAGGGTATTGATTATTAGAAAATCCCTTAACATAAAAGTGTTTTGTAGTTGCAACAAACTTAAATAATTAAATGATAATATTTTTCTTATAAAAGTAAGAGATTGGAGCATCACGAGATATACGTATAAAATGAGTTAATAAATATGAGAGAGTTATTTTTTATTATGTAATAAAAAATAAAAAAAATTATAATTTAAATTATATTGAATTATAAAATATTAATTATTAAATAAAAAAAAACCCTGCAATAATAGAATGAGTCCTCTATCTAATATTTAATGTTTATTATATAATATAATCTAAATTACAAAAATATCGAATTCATTAATTAATTGGCTCACTTAAAAATGAAAAAAAAAAAAACTAGAACGTCGTCGTTTAATCCGTCCAATTTTATCCCGTTGCCTTGGTCATTCTCGAACTTTCCCCGAAGTCAGCTCGCTCCGCCGTTTGCCACCCGCCTCGCTGCATCCCGGTGCAGGTGTTCGGCCGGTCGGACGGGCTTCTTCACGCCACTCGGCCGGTTAATCAAAAAGAAGGCTAAGAACGACGTCGAAAAGATCTTCCATGGATTTCTCCAAAACAAGAGACGACCTCGCCGTCTCTTCGATGAGCTATTTCTGTACTGGAACCTCGCTGAGACTGACCGAGTCCTTTGAAGAACTCGAAGAGGTTTCCATTTTCCTCTCTTGTTTTTTGGTTTTAGCTTTTTAAATGGATTCCTGAAAATTCAGGCAACTGAAGAAGTTCTAATTGTTAATGGAAAGTGAAATCACACTCAAAATAGCAAGAAAATAGGACAAAACTACTGTAATGCTGCCTGGAAGGAAAGGAGAGTAATTAACTCAATGTGTTGGATTAAGAGTCTTTGTTTTTATAGTTCGGAGAGTATGTTTTGACTGCAGGATTTAATGGTTTCCGATTTTTGTCCAAGAATTAGGTTCAAGATTGTGGAGAGCTTACGCGAAGATATATTTTCAGGAAAGCTTAAATTAGGAACTGAAATAAAGGTATGGTACATACATAGAATTCAGGAATCCGTTAAAAAATTATGATACTATGGTGAGACTTGTTTGATTAAGGAATATTGTATGAATTTGGTTTGGATTATATGGATATAGGATGCCTTAAAGAAAAGTGTTTTGGATCTCTTAACAAAGAAAGGAAATTAATAAGACAGAGCTTTAGCTTGGATTCAGGTTCAATATATGTTTAGCTTTTGATTTTGTCATTGTTGTGAAATTTTTCTTGATTTTGAGTTTTTGTTATATGTTCTGTTATCAGGAAACCAGCTGTGATTATGATTGTCGATGCCAATGGAGGTGGGAAGACAACATCTCTTGGAAACACTCCAAAAAAATTGTGGTAACGGGTCAGAGTTACTCAACTAGGTTCAATAAATAAAGAAGATAGCCCACCCACATTTCTTTTGACAAAATTTATGTATAAACGAGTTAGCTCTTGGTGAACACATTGAAGTGATATATCCACATTCTTTTCAAGGTCTGTGGTATGGTATCCACCAGGTTATGATAGTGCATGCAACCTCATAGATTGTAATGCTGTGGGTCTTGGCTTAGGTTTTAAAGATACTGAATGAGGTAACTTGGTTGTTTCCCCTTTTTAAGAAGCTTTGGAACTCTTATAAAGTTCATTTCTCTGCCATGTTTGTTTGCTTTCTGAATTCTGATAACCTCGTCAACTATGCCTATCAGGGAAGCTGGCCCATGGTCTAAAGAAGGGAGATGCAATGGTGAGCTGATAAAACTTTGCACATTGCTTTTGGTGCAATGTCACGATCCTCCACCTTTTACCTCATATACCGTGTTGTTTGAGATTGCGGCAGATACTGATGGCAGCAGGTGACACATTCAGAGCAGCTGCTAGTGATCAACTAGGATATGGGCTGGGAGGACTGGGTGTGAGATTGTTGTTGCTGAACGAGAGAATGCCAAAGCATCATCAGGTAGATTAGTAGAAGATATGATGAAAATCATTCCTTTTGGGACCAAAAGGGGTGGGGTGCAGATATCACACGAACTTTTTCATGCTGCTCACTTTATTAGACAGTGAAAACTAAATTGTTCGGTACAACTTCTAACATGTGATCATAAAGTGCTTTCTGAGTAGTTCTTTCACAGGCAGTGAAAGGAGGGAAGGAGGAAGGTTTTGATGCTGTCTTGGGTGATACGTCAGGACATAAGTATTGAGACCTTTTGTGTGATTGGCTCTTAGTGTATTTTGATTGTGGCTCTAAAATGCAGCTTCCTTTTTATCCAATTATTTGTTTATCTTCTCAGGTCTTCACACTAATTTCGGATTGATGGTGTGTAAGCAGGCTGTAGGCAAAGTTGTTCATGGTGCACCTAATGTAAGTTCCAACTTTTAGGTACCTCTAACATTTTCTTGACATTGAAATTATTTGAACATGTGTCCTATGTTTTGAGACTGCTGTTTCCTCACCACAAGGATTCCATCACCGCATGACATGTGCAGGAGATTCTGTTAGTTTTTGATGGGAATACTGGTTTGAATTCGCTTCCACAAGCAAGAGAGTCAATGAGGTACTTTAGTTAGCCTTGCCTTCTCCACCAAGATGGTTATGCTTTCACTGGAAACAGTTTATTCCTTTTGGCCTGATTAAAATTTTGTTTACCAAGATGGTCCGTTTGGAACTTGGTGTGGTAATGTTTTGAGACCTGATTCAGCAGACTGCAATCAATGTTTGCAGATTGTGAGAGAGTGACGTTATTGTAGATTCATTGTGCTCTCAAGCTGATAAAGAAGTTGTATTGATTTTCCTTTTGTTTTCTTTTCATTTATTTTTTGACAGGTAGTTGGAATAACTGGTTTGATTTTGACAACATTGGATGGTTCTGCTAGAGGCTTATGTGTGGTATCTTGCGGTTTTTACTTTACATTTTTTTGCTCTCCTTTTTTTTTGTGTGTGGATGCGGGTTTCAATTTTGCTCTTGATTGAGCCAACACAACAATGGATTCCAAAATTGGTGTGTGAAATATTTTTTCATTATTTGTGTTGTTAAAGTTAGCCTGTCTTCTTGGGCAGGTAAGTGTAGTTGGCGAGCTTGGCATCCCTGTAAAGTTTATTGGTGTTGGTGAAGGTGTAGAGACCTCCAACCCTTTGATGCAGAGGCATTCGTTAATGCCATATTTTCATGAGTAATATGATCAGTGTGAATCAGAGGTACATAGTTTAAAGCCAGTGGTATGATCTTTAACATAACAGCTTGGTAATCACCACACTCTACTAAATTGATTTCATTGCTGACATGACATTATTGTTCCCAGGGAAATTTATGTTGAAAATTCAGCTCTTGCAGAACAGCCAGTTTTCTAGATAAAAGGTTCAAGGCATGCATCTGATGAGTGCTAAGGCTGCTTTCTTGTCACCATTTAGGCAACCAAGCTTAAACCGACTTGAAGAAGTTGCTTGTGGAACGGTTGTTGTTCATCTTCTGTCCAAGATTCCTGAGTTTTTTGGCTGACATACATGATCATTGGGGTAAGCTAATCTTGCCTCACTTGATGAATTACAGGCTCACTAATTTAAAATGTAATTTTCAATTAAAAGCTGATACTAATCAGAAAAAAATGGTCATAGATTAATCTTTCTTTTTATTTGCATCCCAATATGTCAATATTTTTTTGTTCTACTTTGATACTCTCTTACCCTGATTATCTGTATTAGCACATAGCCTAGTCCCTTGGTAGAATCATGCTGAAACATTCTGTTGGCCAGAAAACGGCAGTAATAAACACGATTGCATGCTGGATATGTCATCAGAATCAAACAAGTGCCCCTAACTCAATAAATTAGAATCTATTATTACAGCAACAATAACAAAACAGTGTCTTTCAACACAATAAAACATTTTTATTAAACTTTTACAGAAATGTTGAATGACACGTTGATTCACCAGTTTAGGTATTGATCTTCAAGCTTTATAACTTGGCAATTGGCGAGTTATAGAAGGTAGCGCGAGCAGTGTAAACTAGTTTCTTGGTCTCCTTCATTTTGAAATCCATTGAAACTACTGTCAAATTCCTTCCACTTCTCACAACAGATCCATCAACCAGCAGCTCCGACTGTGTATTAAGAACATAAATGAAAGTAAATATTCAGTAAATAGTATACCAATCATCAAGCCTGAAATCTCTTAGAATAGTCGATACCAAGTTTTTGTTTTTTTTTTTCTTTGAAAAATGAACACTAGAGAACAAATCTCCATAAACCCAATGGGGAGGAAATGTGATCCAGAAAAGTAAAACCACCTTAATACAGTACAAAAAAAATGGTTCACCAGTGACATTGAAACAATCCCTTTCAAAAACTTTAACTCAAGTTATTAGTAATGATTAGTTAGGATAATTATATACTAATGACACTCATAATTGGGGTCAAAATAGGGCGACACAGAGTTGATGATAATAGTACTAGTTAGAATCTCATTAATTTTCTCATTTGAAGCAGAAATGCATTATTGTCAACCAAATTTCTATGGAAAAAGGGGGTTATTTTAGTACATGATAACTTACGTTTACAGGGGCAGCAGAGAGATAAGAAATACTCAATTCACCAAGAAAAAGCTCCTTATCCTGCGCCACCACAGTTCTAGCAGTAGCTATGGAAACTCTCTCTGCTATAGCTCCCACAGCCCCGCCATGGGTTCCACCAAAATAATTCTGCACAAAAAAAGTTAGAAAATCACAAATCAAACAACATCTTACAAAGATCCTTAATTTCCAAACTCTTCGAAGAAATTATCCAATTACTTATTACAGATTTAAGAAAGCTTACAGAAATTCTTGTAACAATAAGACAAGGGGGGGAAACGAAAATAAAGGGTGGGAGAATTTACTCCGAGTGCCGGTTTGACGGAGACGAGGCAGGTGAGGCGGCCGCGTTCGATTTTCTGCGCCTTGAGGTGGCCGCAAAGGAGATTGGAATAAAGGTCTATAGAATTGTAGTTGTCGATATCTGGATCGGAGACCCCCACACTCTCGAAGAAACCTGCAACGGCAGCGGTAATCTCCGGCGGCAAGTCTTTGACGATTGTTTCTGAAAAAGAAGAAGAAGAAGAAGAAGAGAGCGTCTGTGTCTGCTGTAAGAAAGGAATTGAAGGCGAGGGCTTCGCCATTTCGAACTCTGAGGAGAAGGCACTTACTCGCCCGTGTGGCTTCCAACTCCGGTCAAGGAAAAGGCCGTAATTAG